CTTTTGTACCCGATCTGGTCCGCACGGAGGCCCAGCGAGCGCAGCGTTTTATTGACAGACTTTACCCAGCAGTCCGTCATAACATCGTCGGCCACGGGACCAAGACGTATGCACGTGCAGTCTCCATTGCTCAGGAGGTGGATGCTAGCCTTAGGAGGGAGGCCGTTCGTGGTCAGTCGTCTTCAGTTCCACCGATGTCAGCTTTGCCATCTACCCAGCCGCCCAAGAACAACAAGAGGAAGGATAAGGGTGCCCAGACAGATAAGAGGGCCCGGAAGAAGCTTCAGCAGGTTCCACAGTGCCCGACATGTGGACGTCATCACCGAGGCGAGTGTCGCTTTGGTCAGGATGTGTGCTACTACTTTCACGAGGCCGGACACTTTGCGAACCGTTGCCCGAGGAAGGGGCAACAGCCCCAGCAGCCTCAGCAACCTCAGCAGCCTCAGCAGCAGCAGCAGCAGCCCCGTCAGCAGGCACAGAGGCAGCCTCAGCAGCCGCAACAGAGGGGTAGACAGCAGGCCAGGGTTTATGCCATTGATCAGGCAGAGGCCGAGCAGCAGCCAGGTACCATGTCCGGAATGATTATTCTTAACAATGTTCCTGTGTTTGCTTTGTTTGATACCAGAGCTACGCATACCTTCATTTCACGACGATGTCTTGATGCCATCGGAGTTCGCGCTACTACCGCTATCGATCCTCTCGAGGTGAGTTTGGCCTCGGGAAGAAAGATAGTGACTTCAGCTAAAGCCTCAGACCTTAGCCTTTCCATCGGTGGCCGAGTTTTGCCTACCGACGCGTTTGTTCTCGAGATGAAGGACTTCGACCTGATTCTCGGAATGGATTGGCTATCCTTCTATCATGCAGATATCAAGTGTCGCGATCGGGAGATTTCTCTTTATCTTCCGAGAGACGAGTCGATTACTTTCTTCAGCTCCAGAAACCGTTCTTTGCCTCATGTTGTTTCGATGGCGAAAGCCACTAAGTTGCTGAGACGAGGCAACTACCAGGGTTATCTGGTGAGCCTTGTTGACGATTCTCAGAAAGCACGTTCACCTCACGATGTTCCAGTCGTTCGAGAGTTTGTGGACTTATTCCCAGACGAGCTTCCAGGAGGACCACCCAACCGTCAGGTGGAGTTTTCTATCGACCTTATTCCAGGGGCCGGTCCAATGTCCAAGGCCCCGTACCGTATGGCGCCTAAGGAGTTGCAGGAGCTTAAGGCGCAG